CCGTATAAATCTTTCTCCAGAAACTGTCATAGTTCTAAACTAAAGTCGTCATAGTTCTAAACTAAAGTCTAGTCTTTCCGAGCATTTAAATTTCCCGCTCGTATGCTAATCGGAAACTTCGACAAATCCCTCGTGTGTTCTGAAGCTGTTGCGCCATTGTTCAAAAATGGCCATATAGGGTCATTTTTCGCTTGTCTAACAAAGCCTATTGTTATCAAATTTGAGCCACTTTTCTTGATACGAAGGAACAAATTAACATAGTCTAAGAATATTACAAACAATGCCAAAACATTCAACTACTGTACCTGGGTCATTATGCGAGTGAGGTACAACAAACACATTTAAAGGCTCCTTTTCAAATGCTGTGTCATCATATCGCACGTCCCAACCCTGCTTCCATGCACCGCCATTAATGTTATCAAATGGCATCACATCAAACATGTCTAACATCTGCATCAAAAAAGAGAAAGATGTTTCAACTTTATTCTCAGTAAGGACTGACTTGACATGGAGACAACACAAAGAATGTGATGAAAAGTATAATCATCTAGTTCTGTTGAACATCACCTTCACATTGGCTGATTTTCCTGAAGCTGAGCCAGAGAACACACAACCATCATCTACATCATTAGCAGGCACTACAGGTCTTCTTACTGGTGCCAAGTCCCTTGTCTTGTCAGTTGGCGGATTGTGACCATTAAATCTTAATTTATCAATAGCATTCTGCATGCCATCAATAATTTTTCCAGATCTCACTAGGTCTACATGAAGTTTATCTATATCTCTCTCCAGGAGATCTAGAGGTTCTTTTACATTCTTAGCAACCTGGAAAACATTTCATATGTAGTGTATAAGTTATAAATACATCTTGAATCAACTGAAATAACTAAATCTACACCTGGGTGTGCACATGAATCACAAGCCAAAACGACTTCAGTTGGTGTAAACTGCAGTCTACTAAGTAATGGGTGTGGCCACTGTGAGCCATGAGGTACGGTCAACTGCAGACTCCTAGTTGAACTGTCATAGCAGTATGGTCCTATATTCTACACAAACCAAAAGAATGATGTAACCCTTTCACTCCAAAGATCTTATTAAGTAATTCTCCTTACTGTCTGCTATATAATCAGTCAATCAATATCAATCAATTGTTTATACAGGGGGTGGTCACGACATAAATTTGAAATTTGACAGTTACAAAATCATTAAATCTTTTGCATTTGCATGTGAGTTTGGAGAATTCAGAGAATTAAAGGATCACAGTTACTATACCAGCATTACTATGGATTTGTAGTCCTTCATCTCTTACAAGTATCTACATATAAAGTCAAGAATTTGTGACTGAATAAATATACTTACTCCCAAATTTATGTATAGCTGCAATGAAACCTAATTCTTAAGTAAAAAAAAATTCAATTTAATTTGTACAGTTGCTTGTTTTGTATTTTTAATTTTGCATGTCCACAATTTTGTCATCTTAACTCAGGGCCATGAGACAAAGGAAATTGAGAATCACCACTTGTACAAAATCTATTTATCTATGAATAAAATTTAACAAAGACATTCATTGGATTGAAATTTAGTAAATTTCATAATTTGATTAAATTCAATTTGATTATTTCAGAATTTTTCAATTTATATAATAATAATAATAATAATAATAATAATAATGGTCTTTAATCTTGCTCTATGGGGACATAAGAAGTTGAAATGAAATTTGTTTATACATTTGCCGTAATTGCATAAAAAAAAAAAAAAAGAAAAAAATTTGAAAAATAACTGTTTTGCTGGTTTGGACAAGGCAAATTTACCAATTACCAGCAGATTAATTCAATGTTGAATTCACATCAGGGGAATAAAACAAAAGAAATTAACCCTTCATTTTCAGCACAACTTCATGTTCAGCAAACAATTTTTAAGATCTTACTTTATTCTCTTTCCTGTTCTGGTAACAGCTTGATGTCTAAGAGTAACAGACAAGGACAGTTAATATTATCCTCAAAATTCTCTCATCTAAAATTTTGGATTGATGCTCCTTGACTTTCTGATCTAGTGTGGGTCCAAAAGTTTAACAGAGCTTTTACTAAACATTAATAAATCACCTGTATGGTAGGCAAAATTGCCTTGCTAGTGCAACACCATCCACAAACTGCCTCAAAGCTTCCCTCACAGCTCCCTGATGAGCATACAGCTGACCAACTTGTAACAGGGATGAGAGCAAGTCATTTAGGATTGACAAACTAGAAAGGTTTTGGCCAGAACTTTCTGATGTGGCTAGCAAATCTGCACAAACAAAAGGAATAGATGCCAAAATATGTGATTAAAAGTTTAATAATAAAACAGAAGAAAACTCTCCCATGTTTCAGGCCAGTTTGATTGCACTTTTCTCTATATTTTAATCAGGATAATAACACATCCAATTACAAGCACAACTCTATCTCAAAGCCTGAATTAGGATTGCAAGGTATTGCCAACCACATGATTTAGGTATATATTATCAGGGGCTTCATTAATGTTTTCTGCAGGAGGGAAACTGGTTTTCACAGGCGGGCAAAACTCTTTGAACTGAACTTCTTTATAAGATAAACTTTCCTCCAGATGGTCAAATCAGGTGGGCAAAGCCGTCCTCACAACCAGTCAATTTGCCCGGTGCCTGGCCCTTAATGAAACCCCTGCAAAAGTGGATTTAAAACGTGAAGTATGAACTCTAGGTAATATATAATCCTGGCCCCCGCTGCGTAATTGCCTAGTATGTCTCGGCGGTAAAAGATCATCAAGTGCAGTGATATTTGAAGTGATCTTGATCCATAGTTTGCTATCTCTGGTGGCTAAAATCTCACAAATACTAAATTTAATTTCTTCAAACAATATCCAGACTTAAAAGCCCTAGCAAACAGTTTGTCTATTCTCTTAAGATATTTATCATAATAACAGCAACCCCACACCTCCATAGCGTATGTGAAGACTGAAATAATATATGCCTTGGCACAAGAGAAATGCTTCCTAATGTTGATATCACTAAATCAGGGAATTGTAGTAATAGTAGCTTGTCATTTCTTGACTCCAAATAAAACAACAGAAATAATCTCAAGGCTCAAAATAATTTACTGGTTGGCACCTGTCAAGTTGTCCGATCAGACCTCTTTTTATTTGGACACAACCCAATATCCTTTAGTTCTAACCTAAATAAATCCCACTACCCCCTACTGCAATGAGTTTATTCACCATGCTTTATTGTACATGCAGCCTCGAACAAAGGTTAAATTACTCAGCACTCACAAAAGATACTTTAATACTACACCTAAATTTTTAAACCTATTTGCACCTTGACAAATCATTATTGACCACTTTCATAAATGGCTGCCGGATTGATACTCTTTTGTTTAAATTTAAATTAGCCTTTCTGGCCTCGTTCTCCAGTTCAAAATTCAAAAGAATGCATTATCTCAAGCGAGACCAGTGGGCTAATTTGAATTTAAACAAAAGAATATCAATCCGGCAGCCATTTATGAAAGTGGCATACATTGAAAAGGAAAACCTCATAAACAGTTACTTTCCACGCACATAAACATGCGCTTACTACAACACTAGTTTCATCTACAGACCTCTTCAGTTGCATGCGAGGTATCGTTAAAAAATTCAAATCTCAGGTGACTTCATATAACATTGCATGAGGAATAATCTGGTATCTAGTTACATAACAACGACGCCAAAGGAAAACTGATAAAACTGTTACAATAACAGTGCTAAAGTAAAACTGATAAAACAATAAAAGTAAAAAATAACAACAGACTAGAATTTGGTTTCATTGTGCAATAGTCATCATTATGATAAAATGTTTGTAGCCTCATTTACGATTGTGTGACAACAGCCCTGGGGATCCAGAAATAACTCCACTGAGTCTCGCTTTTCGTGTTTATCAGTTGATCTTGTTGAACTTTACTTATTAGAAATCACAAAGTTTGCCTCCCCCATTTTATGTTTTTGACATCAACTTAACTGAAAATAATTTATGCAAAAAACCCTCTTATTCAATAAAAATGTTTATTTTAATCAGAGCAGGTAGTCATTCTAATGTATTTAGGTTAGAGTTTTGCCATCAAATGAATGAAAAAGATGGAACAATAATTCATGAGGGATTAAACGAAACATCAGTTCTCTTCAGAACAAATAAACAATCCTAAATAACAAAAAAAATTGCGTATATGTGCACGATCCTTCGCAGTAAAGCACTATTTGAGCAATAGTGAAAATCAGACCTGAAAAAAATTTTTTTCAGGTCTGATTTTCACTATTGCTCAAATAGTGCTTTACTGCGAAGGATCGTGCACATATACGTTTCATAACCGCAGTTCATACATATGTTTCATATGTTTGTTGTTGTTTAAAAAAAATTGCATCACACGTAAAATTTTGAGGTAAATAAATTCGACGTAAATAAAACCCAATCAAGTAGGTATTTCTCAAAAGCTGGAAAATATAAGACAATGAAACCTATCAAAGTACGATTTTAGAATTTTCAACCCTTCTGTTTACATGCCGACATGTCAGAAGATCCCAATTTGCTAACTAAAGCTATACAGGCATCTTAAACACCTGTTAGAAGCACAGAATAACATCGAGTCTCTAAGTACAATTCACACCCGAATTTATATACGTCAGTAGGATGTTATAATTGTACACGTGCATAAACAAATCAGCAAGGTATAAGCCTCTAAGGACTTCATTAAATCAAAACAAGCCACGTTTGAAAATTTCATGAAAATTTAGCTTGCCGCATCGCACAGACGCAACTATAATTTATAATATTTAGAACAACTAAAACCCCTGTTACTTATAGCCAAGCAACCGCTGGATCGAATTCAGGGGTTTCTTCCGAAAGAAAAGAAATAAACTTTGCATCGGTTGATTCTTTAAACAGGATATTAACGGATATAAAATTAACTCAGAAGGTAAATAACGCCAGGTGCTTGTGGAAATCGAATTTATGACTTTCCTTGAAGAATTTGTGATGTCAACCAAATTATGTTTGCCAGCCTCAAGCTGGGTTACCTCAGTTTTGAAGATATCGTGAGAGCTTGGTATTCTTCCTAGTTGATCCACCACCATATACATGGAAAAGAAAAAGACACAGAACATGGCCCCGCCGAGTAAGACAATCCATTTTTTCATTGTCCACGAAATCCTCGCAAAATCCTTTTTACGAGCTACAGATTCGAACTGACGTCGATATAGCTCCCGTTTCAGTCACTGAGAGAGTTTGGCCTAGGCACTAGTGTCAAGTCCCTCACGGCTAAAGACTTCATGAAAGTTGCTGATCTCACGAGGTTGAGCCACGAGTTACCAAAGAAGTTCTCTGCAAGGAGGAATTTTTTTCCATTATGGAGAAAATTCAAGAACTTAAAGAAACGAGAGACGAAATTCAGAATCTCTACTCCACTGCAACTCGAGAGCGTGTGAAAAAAGTCCTACAAGACGAGATGGAACGCGTAGAACGAGAAATCGAAACTGAAGAAAAGAGCGCAGCGAAGCCCGCCTTTAAGAAACCGCAAGTCACCTTGACTAAAATCACGTCGTACGCTTGGGATCAATCGTCGAAATTCGTGAAAATTTACATCAACTTGGAAGAAGTGGAAACTCTTCCTGAAGAGAACGTCTCCACGAAATTTACCTCCAAGTCATTGGAGTTGAAAGTACTTGGTTTGAAAGGCAAGAACTATCATTTTCAGATAGTCAATCTGTTGCATCCTATTCTTCCCGAATCCAGCTCGGTGAAAGTCAAATCTGGACGCGTGACTCTCCTTTTGAAGAAGGACAAAGACGAAAATTGGTCATGTTTGACTGTGACAGAGAACTTGAAGAAAATGAAAGAGCAGCCGAAATTGGACGATAAAAAGGATCCAGGAGAAGGAATAATGGACCTGATGAGAAAAATGTACGATGAAGGAGATGATGAAATGAAGAGAACCATAGCAAAAGCGTGGACGGAGTCAAGAGAAAAACAGAATACATTCGATCCGTTGTCCTAGGCTGTATTTTTGACTCAAGTATGTAATCTTGATTACATAGTTCTAGACTGGATTGTTTTGTTAGAGACAATTTTGAGTACTTTTGTTTTGTAATGAGCCCAAGCTCAGCATGGAACTTTTTTATAACCACACTAGCGCTCAGATATGCTTTGCAAATGAAGCTGTCGAGAAACTCTGAAAAAAAGTTCTTCTTGTGTTCATAATTATCCTGATTTAAAATATTTGTGAATGCTCCTAGTACTGATCATGTGTTAGTACATGTACCCGTACCAAAATCCAGGCAAACTGTTAGGTTCTTCTCTGATAATGCAACCTTACCTTAATTTGTGTTGGTTTACTTATTAGATGCCACCTGAGAATAAATACGTGTACTAAGAGTTGCCTTTTCCCACTGTGTAGAAGTTTCAGAGAGAGTTTTTAACAAATAGATCACAGATAACTTCAAATGTGGTTAGAATAAGAAAGTGGCACATAAGGCTCTGCCAAGTATGTAGCTGATGCTTACCATATTTTGAAGTCTTCTGTGTACTGTAACTGAACAGATGCACAGTGACATGGAATGTATTGGTTTTCAATAATATTAGATCAGCAAAAAGTTGTTGATGGTGATGTTATCAAAGCACCTGTCCTCTAGTAGATCATAGGTAAGAACCAATCAATATGCACGCATGCATTAGTCAGAATATCATCTGAATAGTTACAATGTATTTATCTGTGAGAGCTCATTAAGTGTTGAGATTATGATCTGAGATTAGTCACCTACATTCCTTTAGGAATGATTACCTCAAGATCATTGAAGAGCCCAACACAAACTTAAGGGTTTTTTTTTGTCAGTTCAAAAGATCACAACAAAATGGTAATAACTGTTAAATTCTGTGTAGGTAGTTGTCAGTCAGATAAAAGTAAAATAAACGTCTTCATTTTGTTATTGGTAGAGTAGAATGGTCTTAAGAGAAGTAAAAATGTTACAGCCTGTGTTGATCCTCCTCTTTCTCTTTCTCTCTCCCTCTCATTGAGGTGAATATGCTCATCCAACAATGACACAACTGATGCCAGTGTGATTAATTGCAAAACAATCTTATGATGGTTTTGGACTGAAAATTGTCATGCAACATGCACTCATTTGGTTTTGTTTGTATTCGTTCTTAAGTTTGTTTTGGTGGTAGATTGCTTGGCAGTGAGACTCGATCACTCTTAGTAGTAAGGCATACAGTAAGTTCTGGTCTCCCTCGGCAGGACTTCATGCAGTTTTATTCTCAATTTCATTGTAGAAGTTCAACAGTTTGAAAAATAAATTATTCAGCTTGCACTGATTGATAAAGCAACGGTTTTAATTAGAAAACATGATAATTTGCAACTGATGGTGGTAATTTTTACTTGTGGATACAGCTGTTGCAATAAAATAATGTTGGAAAAAATGATAAAAGTGCATGTGACAATCTTGAAAGGTAATCTGGGTATGGTATAATCAAGTAATTTTTGATAAATCAAATAAATGAATAGATTCATCAACCATTGGATGCATTTTCATTACATACAGAGATGTTTTCTCAGACCTCTGGGAAATTCTGAGGTCAAGGAACACCTGGAAACTCCCCACAATATATCTCTTGGGGTTATGGTCCTGTGCACTTTTACTCTTTTTTTGTGACAACGTCTCTCAAAGCAGTTGTGTATATATACCAATGAAACTATAATACAAAGCTAGACCCAGAAANGTCCTGGACCTGGATTAGCTGTGCAAAGTGGCCAAGGAATTGTGGGAAGCATCTTGGCCGCCATCTTGAACGCAGGTGATCGAACTCGAAAACTGTATTACGTGTTTTCATTCGTTTTTCTCTTATTTTGAGATGATTAAGGCAATACTTGTATTCAACAACCATGGGAAGCCTCGGATGACGAAATTTTTTGTGCACTATGTGAGTAGCTTTCCCCCTTTAGTTTGATTTCTCACAGGGAACAAACCTTAGACCTTCTTGTACTAGCTGTACACCAATTAATTCGCCACAGTGCCACAGAAAAGGGAGAAAACTGGATGAAACAGGAAGAAATTAACGTAGAATTTATCCATCTTCACATATTTTAAATCAAGGAGCTAGTGCGTCTTTGCATAATTTTTACTGTATAATTGCAATAAGAAAGAAATAGAGCTTTAAAAAAACATTTTCCTTTTGAGTGTCGAGAGTGATCCTTGACGATTGTCCTCTGTATTTTTCCTTTTCAGGATAGTCTCTTTTCTCTTACACAAAAAAAAAAAAAAAAAGAATCGAACCACGTGTATACCAATCACTTTCACAGCTTAGAGCAATCATGTCATGGCGTGGTTACCTTCAGCTCCCTTGAATTTGTGTTGCTTCTGAGAATACCTAAGAATTAGCCGTAGTAATTTCAAGGTAAAAAAGTTTGATACTCTCCAGGCATGGAAACTCATCATGTTCGGTAGCCCGGCTTGGCACTCAGCACAAAAAGAAATTCCTGTGTATCTCTACATATTCTAAAGAAAGTTGGCCTTCATAGTCTGTGTAAGGATTTAACCAAATGTGACTTGTACATTCAAAGCAGTTTTTCAAGTTTAAAGCTCAAAGATTTGTATTTCACATTCAGACATGAATCTTCCTTGAAACAATGCTTGCGACCAAGCATAAAGATAATCAAATGCCATTTCCTTGTGTAGATTTTGTTTCAGTCTGAGGATATGCAGCATCAAATAATAAGAGAGACATTTCACATAGTCTCAAGAAGAGATGACAATGTTTGTAATTTCTTAGAAGGAGGAACGTAAGTAACTTTACTTAACTGTACTTCCTTGAGTTTTTTTTGTGCCTTTAAGTCACTTTGCAGCAAATGGTTTGAACCCAATAGTTGTAACATTTGATTGTGAGCTCTAATCATCCCATTGAGAGTTGACCCAAGATGGGCTGTTGTTGGTTGTAGTGATTGATTTTTTATTAACCCGAGAGTCTAATTATCCTGACTTCTGCTGAGGTTATCAAAATGTCATTCACTAATGCTAACAACAGGTGTACTCAGGATTATTCTCACCAAGACGCTTAATGAAATGTAATGACGCATAATGAAATGTAAGTTACTATAGACATGTACATTATCATTTTGCTTGGAAATATTTTTGTAATAAATCAAAGCTGTTGATCAATTTTTTACAAAAATGCCTTGGAAACTTACAGTCATGGTTGATTTTAGGTTGATCGGAGGTTCTGACTTCAAGATTATTTACCGACATTATGCTACGCTTTATTTTGTGTTCTGTGTGGATTCTTCAGAGAGTGAGCTAGGAATACTTGATCTTATACAGGTAAGTTGAAATATAAAATCAACACAACATCAACATTGAACTTAAGAGTGAGCCTATTTGCTGCTTCAGTTTATAAATCATTCTAAAATTGTGAAAGAACCTGGTGAAATCCAAGTAAGAGACTGAGGCGGGTCTTACAAATGTGATTCTGATCTCAGGTGGATTCAACTTTATGATAAACTAGTTTATTCATGAAGATAATAGTGTTTCAACCCTTGGCATGCCTTTAATACCCAATTTATGAATAAACGACTTAGCAAAGATTTTAGGAAACATTATTTTCAAACTTACTAACTAAAATTGCTCTTAGCTCATGAAGATTATTTTTAGCAACTGAGTTAGATGTTCAGATATCTCTTTGGAAATTTTTTCCCCTAAGCACTCTAATTTTCACCTCTATAAGGCAGTTCTGGTTGCCCCTCGCCAAGTCCTAACAGCCTCTTTGTATTGTCTTCTACTTGTGTTGAATGGTCACTTAGGACGGAATCACATCAATCTCCCAAAATCAATGTTAATACTATTTTTAAGAAAGATTTTGTAAATGAAGTGGTCAATTATCACATAAAATGGCAATTCATCATCTTTTGTAATATCCCTATTCTGTAGAACCTCTATTGAGTGGCCAGCCTGTGTTAAGTGGTTATTCAGCCATTCTCGGAGGGTGATTGCTTACTACAGGTTGAACTGTATTGTAAAACACCATAGAAAAGTGATGGTGATGGCCGTATATTTTTATTCAATCAATGATTAATGGTTATATTTTGTTTCTTCTAGGTATTTGTGGAAACTTTGGACAAGTGTTTTGAAAATGTCTGTGAGCTGGATCTAATATTTCATATGGATAAGGTATGCAAACAGAAACATTTATTGTGTTCTCAATTTGCAGTGTCTAAGCAGATGTATGCGGTGGTTTAAAGTTATGTTAGGTTAAAACAATTCAAACAACCGGTAGTTTAATTAATTTTTTATTTTCTTTGCTTCACATATAGGTTCACTTTATTTTACAAGAGATAGTAATGGGTGGTATGGTACTAGAAACAAACATGTCTGAGATTTTAACCCACATTGAGGCACAGAATAAACTAGAAAAATCAGAGGTAAGATGCATCTCCAAAATTATCAATAAGTTATTATAACAGTGTCATGTCCCTTGGCAGATATGCATACCGTCTTTAGGCAATTCTGGCATAATGTTAGGATTGACAAAATATTTTAGCTAACACCCACAGATTAGTAATTTGATTTGCAAAGAGGTCCCGATTGAAGTTGTAATGTCTCTATTTCTGTAATCCATTTTGGAAAAAGAATTGCAGTGGGTCTGTTTAATGGTGATTGCTGTCATTTGCCATGGAAGCAATTTGGTGACTTGTGTTCATTGGTCATATTGCGAACTGTTACTGACAGTCTGAAGTTAAGATGATAGGCTGATTTCTATTTCACTCTTTACCAATGCTTCCATTACTTCTTACCTTATAAATTGTTTTCTTTTTCCTAGGCTGGAATAAGTGCTGCACCTCAAAGGGCAATGTCTGCTGTTAGAAATATCAGTCCAAACCTACACAATCTTCCAAAACCAAATATAAATTTACCATCTATCAAATCACTGCCACATATAAATTTACCTTCCTTCAAGTAGAGTTAAAGATGTTCTATTTTTCTAGTTAAAAGAATATAACTGTTGTTGATAATGCAGCATAGAATGAAATAATTTTATTTTCATGTACAGGTTATTACAGTTGCAGTTAGCTTAGAGTTACATAGGGTAGTATTGGTTACACAAGAGAATGGAATCCAGGACTGGGTTGTTCAAAGGTGGTTTAAGATAACCCAGGGTTACCGTGAAATTTAATTGCAGATCTGAAAGCTTTAAAATTAATTTCACTTTAATTCCATTTGTTTACAATTTGGTGATTGAATGCTCTGAGAAGAATTGGGAAAATTATCTTAAAACAGCTTTTGAACAGAGAAATATAGAAATCTGGATTAAAATTTAACCCTGGGTTAGTGCTAATCGGTCTTCGAACAACTGGGCCCAGGTCTGTAATGCTGATACTGTCTCTCAGGTCCTGAACAAATCTTGGGTCTCAAAGATAGAGCACTTGAAAACACTGATGCCCCCTGACTTTAAATTTAAACCATATTAATTCAAGGTTGTTACGGCAGTGTTTAAGATTTATAGCTGTCAAAGGACACTCACCATTGGTCAGAACTGGCCCAGCAAAGTGCCTAATTTAGGTTAGCTTTTTTGTAATTTTTTTTCCCATTCAAGTCTTTTTCAATACTTTAAGGAAAAATTTCTCAAAGAATAGGGATTATAATATTTAGGCTGAGAAAAGTGAAAAGCTAGTCATGAGTATCTGGATTTGTTTCATGAATGGCTAGGCTGGCTTCTGGTTTTTATTGATGGTGAGAACCATGATACAACTGATAAAAAACCTTCGTGGAGTAATCTCTTGGATGAATTAAAGTGCTAGATGTAACTGCCTGTCTTTAAGGCCAAGTTTTGTTCAATACTGGGGCAGTTAGCAAATGATGATAGGAGAAAAAGTATTATTAATAGTGGTTGATATTCATACCAAGCACACTGTTCATGGTGTGTTTTTAAAATTTGGACAATGGAAATCTAAAAGTTGCCCCGTCTGTGTTGGAAAGGACCAAGGTGCAATTTTGTAATCAAACATCAAAAGTAATCAGGGGTTGTTGTGGTTTTGCATTATTGCACTGACATAGCTCTTGCCATCCTCCGAGCTACCAATAAGTTGCAAAATAAAAACTAATGCTGCATTTTTCTCACCTGATTCCTACACTTTAGCCAATGTTTTAAAGTCCTTACTTTGTGAGATTTTCTTTCACACCAATTTGCCTTAATAATTGTGATTTGGGTGTAACTGTACAACATTCAGTCCAGAAGTGTCATCACTTATGACATTTGTAAAGTAAACGAAGCATCAGAAGAAAAACAATTCAGAAAAAAACAAATAAAGGTCATGGAACAATTTTGTGTAAAATCAATGGCTCAGCTAATCACATTTCAGTTTGTCTGGAGAGAAGAGTACTATAGGACGACTGAGTATTGCATCTCTCAGTCACAGCTGAATTACCTGCCTATATAAATACTTGTGACATTCTCTAATACATTTTCTTATTTTCATTTATGGTTTCTAAAAGCATGTGCATGCATCAATTGAATTACCTGCATATATAAATACTTGTGACATTCCCTTAGACTAATACACTTTCTTATTTTCATTTATGGTTTCTAAAAGCATATGCATGCATCAATTGAATGGGAATAACTGGAATATTTTAGGTACCAACCAAGGCAAAGGGGCATTTTCTTTATCTCAATAAAAGTATGTTTATTTCAGTTTCTAGAAAAAGAAAGATTTTCCACACCATTTTCTCAGGTTAGGTAACCTTCATGGTTGTGGAAAATCCCTTCCCCAGATTGTAGAAAGAAGCCCAGATTTTTCAAAATCTATGTACCAGTGATTAATAAATTTAAAGTTACCAAAAAATTTTGCAGTATTCTTGCAGTCGAAGTTGTAAAACTACTGTAGTACACTGGATCGCTTTTGCAGTCTCATGTGAGACTTAGCCAAGCAAAATGCCAAAACTCACATTTGAGAGAGACTACATTCAAAGTAGCCAAAGGAGAATCTCAAATCTTATGGTTAGCAGATTCTTAGAAAAAACAAGTTGCCCAGGGTCATGTTAAAGTTCAAAATGTGGATTCAAAGATGCACAGGCAACCCAGCTCAGTTTTTTAAACCTACAACATTTATTATCATCCAACATATTTATTATCATTCAGCAGTGAGTTAGCCCACAGTTGAAGCAAGAAAACAAACACTTAACACTAGGTTAATTAAACAAGTTAAAATATAATTTAGAAGAAGTATTCTAATATTACATAATTTAAATTGGTTAATTATTTTAATTCAGTTGGTTCCTTTGCAGAACCTGGTACAGTACTGTAACTGTTAGTTACACACACACAAAAAAAAACATTCCGCTAGTATTGTACAACTTTTTTACTATCTGGTTCTGTTTCATCTTATTGTGGCAGAAGCACTGAACATTTTTCTAGAGAACACATGGACACTCTGTGCCAACTAATTTGCTACAAAATGCTTTGTGCTACCTGAACTGTAGTATTTCTTGGACTATCTGGTTCATTTTATACCTGCTAATGTACACAAGCCCCAGTAGCCAAGAAAACTCTCTAATGTGAAGTAATCAAAATTGTTTTCTCCAATTTCTTAAAACATTTATTCCATGTTGAAAATGTACAAATCAGATGACAGAGATTTTTTCATTTGTTTTTCTTTCAAGACCATTCATAAAATCTCATCATGATTTTATTGGATCTTTTTTAACATGAGTGGAGCAGAAAAACTCTCTTATATAGTCCAAGGTTTTGTGTGGTCACAAGGCAAGCTTAATGAACCCTAAATAAATTTACCTACCTTGCATTAATTTTTCCTTGCAACTAAACATGGAAAACTACCACTAAATGTGATTAAAAGAACTTAAAAATAATAATTCATTAAATTTTAATAACTTAATGTAACTATAGGTGTATTGATAATTATTCTTGCCAGCATAGCTGGTTGAATTTTTGTAAAATCAAAAAATAAGTTAGGTATATTTAGCTCTTAGCCACTAGGACATGCAGAACATGAAAACTATTATAATTATTGTGACCAAGAAATGATAAGGAGTATAACACCATTCCCAAAACAAGAATATCCATGTAAAACTTTGCTTCCTAAATCAAAATCTAGTCACTTAATTAAACATTTATTGTTACTAGGTTGACCTTTTTTGGTAAGCTGACAAGAAATTGAAATAAGAATCTATATGTAAGCTTTACCAAAAATGAATTTGGTTCTGGATACAGAAGCTAAATGAAATTATGTCATTATTTTACTACAAGGACATTAACTAAATTTATTCATGTTTCAACAATCCTATCATTCAATAAATTCAGAGTAACTTCTTGAGGGTTGAATGCTTTCACCTACTGTGCACTTGTCTGTAGGTTGGATCAACTCTGTAGTGAGGAGAAAATCAAATCATGATAATGATATATTACATTAAATGACATTTTAACAAAAAATTAAGCTGGACATGTGTGTTAGGTAAAAGGTAAAGCCTGCTTACGAGCCAGGTGGCCCATTGGTCTGGCACCCAAATCTAGTTTCCATAGCATGAAGCGACTGGAAGTATTTCTACTCCCCCCCTAGATAGAATGCTGGTCCATCGCAGGGTTACCTCCCATCATAAAATTTGCTGGTACCCATTTATACACCTGGGTGAAGAGAGGCACTTGGGAGTTTACTGTCTTGCCCAAGAACAACACAACATGTGTGGAAAATATGAAAAATATGAGATTTAGGGTGCACCTTACTTTGGGTTTGGTAACATGAGATGCCTATGGGTCTTTTTAAGCTTTAATATTAATAGTAATGACAACAAAAAGTCCTGTATTAATGATTGACTCAAAAGGCAATTTCACTCAGTGTACTTTTTTATTTCATTGTACCTATTTCACAGAATAATTGCAATGGAGATTTTCAGACCACAGTAGCATTAAATCTGGACGGTAAATGCAAGGGGCACTACCCTGTACTATCACTTAGCTATCAAATGCACGCAAAAATTGGTAGAACTAATCTACATACTTAGGTTTGTCCAAGGCCACAGCTCCCTCGGTCTATAACTGGCTTGACTGTTGGTTACAAGATGTTGCACTGAGGATTGCTTATTTTCACTTGTAATTCATTTTTTCATTATAACAATCTTGCTCTGAACTTGACATTACAAGCAGCCACCTACCTCATCACTTCATCAGGGATGTAAATGTAGTCTACTGGAACAAGGCTTGAAAGAGTACTAAGTGTGTTTATGAAACTGAGTTTTCTCCAAAAATTAGAACTGGAAAAAAGGTGCAAAAAAAATGTTAACAAAAAAGTAAGTCACAGTCATTATTCTAATTTGCAGAAGCAGTAAGTAACCTGTTCTACATATGATTTAAACTTTTAATGCCACACATTTGCAGTCTGCTACTCTACAGTAAAATGAACTTCTCTAACATTACCAGTATACATCAATTCAGTCACATCTCACCTAATCAGTGGTTTGGCAAGTGTAATAACTGCTTTGAGTCGAAAATTGGGATGCACAATGAACATTTCTTTCATTTTCTTTAGCCTAAAAAGAAGTAAAGGAACTTAAGATCACAATTTCAAGTAAACAAAGTCATATTTGTATCAATGAAACAGACATGGTTTTATTTTGTGAAATGTTTATCAGGGTCAAGCCATCTCTCATCTTCTGGAAAGTACAGAGAGGAAGTGATAATATCTCTTGCACCTCCATTTTTGTCCTCTAATAACCAGAAAAAAACTCCAGTTTCCTACCCTCCTTCAATATATTGGTAGAATCTTTTCATCCATGTTACAGATGGCATGTTTTGCTGTCTTGTTCCACCATTGAAGTACACCAAGTAGTAATCCTCATGGATTGCCAGAAGTTCCAAAGTGCTTATAACATAACTAAATAACAGTAATAAACGAGAAAAAGAGAAATTAAAACAAAACAAGAAAATGTTATTCATGGTGGGTGATAGAGGAATGTGCAAATATTACAGAAGTGAAAAAAAGGATTACCAGTACAGGAAAATAGATAATGCCAGGCAAAGAATTACTTATAAATCAGTATTATAACTCAAAGGAAGAGGAACAGCAAAGAAAGAGGGACTGTTAACATTGTCTCTAGTTGATACATTTTGACAAAGAACTTACAAGAAAAGTTGCTCCATTAGAAAATCATAGTTCTTTATAGTCTTCTCAGGTAGATAACAGGCAGCAATCACAACAATGGTTGACTTAGTATCACTAAAATAACCTGAAATTCCAGATAAAAAAAATGTTTAATTTTTTACTAATAGAAAAAAGTAAGTCAGATTGGGAATAAAGTATGTACTAAATTTCTGATACAAAAGAAGTAACTGAAAGGCCCAAGAGTAGCAGGACAGTAAAGCTAAAACATCAAGTGCACTGAGTCACTGTGCAATTACAGTCATTTCAATAAGTGTCAAGTTCCCAAATCAAGAATTTTTAAGCCTAGAATATAAATTCAATCAGTCTGATTTTAGTACAAACCAACCAAAAAAGGCAAAATAAAATCAGGAATCAGAAAGATAACAATTATATGGTCCTATCCTAGTCATCTCTGGCATGCAAGATCACCACACTTGATCAGTAACCAATACATTGTAGTAATGATACCTTGCACAATGAGCATATTTTGCCTTTAACAAACAGCACCTGGTCTAGAAACTTAACAACTGTATTTCTTCGCCTATAAGCTGAATGATTTTTTCAGTTTTCGACCCAAAATTTTGGGAGATTTTTCACGAAGAATGGGGTTCGGCTTGTAGCCGAGGGTTTTAGATTTTAAAAATATACAGTTGCTGAATAAATTTACCCCCTGGCTTGTAGTCAAGTTAGCAATGAAGCAGAAGTAATAAAACACAACAAAAATAACTTCTGAATATTGGTTATTCACTTTTATGAAATTGGTGGCTCCTAAAGGAGCCGTTTGATGGATCTGTCCAAGGGCTTTCAACCCAATGGTTTACTCGCCATCTGTTTCATTTTCGCTGTCTGTCTCGAACTCGTTCTCTTCCATGTCTTCATCATCTACTTCTGGGGTTTCCTCAGAGTAGACCATGTCGTCCTCTGTTCTGTCCAAGGTATTGGAAATAGCGCAGGTCTTGAAGGATTTGACAACCATCTCTTCGGGTATCTCTGCCCATGCTTCCTTGATCCACCTGAGGACAAGATTTCTGCTTGGCGCCTTCTTCTTCCCAGCTGGGGTAAACTCAAATGGCCCAGATGTCATCCACGCCAAGTACTTTCGGCGCACATTATCTTTAAATGGCTTGTTTAGGCACTTATCCAAGGGCTGTACAACCAGGTTAGGCCTCCAGGGATAACTGCGACATCAATGTTTCGCTGCTTCAGGTCATCTTTCACAGAATCAGTCAAGTGAGCTCGGAATGAGTCCCACACCAAAAGGGAACGCTCAGCACAGGGCAAACTCTGTTGAATCCATTCCCGGATGCCCTGTTCATCCATCCACCCTTTCTTATGGAAGGAAACACGAAGAGGATGAGGCACGACCAAATCTCTGGTTGTGCCACATTGTGTTCAGATAAAAAAAAGTAAATAACAACCTTGTTCTCTTTGCTGTGAAAACCACTCCATCACTTGCTGGTCTAGTTCGGGATATTTCGGAATGAAACAGCCCATTGTCGCACATTTTGCAGACATCTTCAGCTCACCAGAAATTGTCGCCTGGTCTCTTCTCTAGCATCATACCATGGACTTGCTTAGTCCATATTCTTGAGTGATTTTTGAGTTGTTTTCTACCGCTTCAGCTTCCATGACAACTTTTATCTTGAAAGCCATACTATACGAGGAACGGTGTGCTTTAGGCATGATGATAAAACGTAACAGCAACGAAAGGGATACTCGATCGACTGATACTTTGAAACGTTTAACTGAGATTGTTGTTGTGGTTGATCTGTTGTCGCATGGTAGTATTCATACACGTCGTTGGATCAATTGATATTCATATCTCTTCATTGGTTTGCTTTTTTTCTTTTGTGTTAATTATTGTAATTCATTAGGTTTTGTGTTTAGTGAGTCAATTTCTTATGTTTTCCATAAGGTTCGCTTACACAAATGGCCAGTTACAATCAATAATTTTGCTCTCTGCTTATAGCCGGTGGTTTTACTTTTTTCTTTTGGGCAGCTTGAGTCTAGTGGAAAGACCCTGACTTTCAGGGTCTCGGCTTATAGCTGAGATTGGCTTATAGGTGAAGAAATACAGTAGACATTCGGCATATCCACTTACAAACCAAGCCACAAACACAATATTGTCATATTATTGACAAGTTTAATCATACTTTTATTCCACATCTCAAATGGGGCTCAAAACTGCACTGGCTCAAAACTGCACTGGCTCAAAACTGCACTGGCTCAAAACTGCACTGGCTCAAAACTGCACTGGCTCAAAACTGCACTGGCTTAAAACTGCACTGGCTCAAAACTGCACCTCAAATTGTTTTCCCAGGTGGTAAATCCTTTATTGACTGAGCTTGTCAGATCAAAATACCATAATTCATATTCATTTGGCCAACTCCCAAGCAATTTGACCACACTTTTCAGCCAAGAGCACATCTTAACAAAGATCTAAACCATAACATTAATCATAACAGTCATCTATAAAATAAAAATATACCTCCATGAGAGATGACTTTCATGTACGGCTCCAGAAGCCTCAAATCAAGTACCTTGTCCCTGCCATGTACACTCACAGTATGCCAACGGAACCTGTCATCACCTGATGATTCAGCTTCTAGCTGAACTTTTAATGGAGCGGTTTCTTCTACCCTTGTCTTGTCATCATCTTGTTCGTCCACATCTTCAGTCTCACTTTCATCTCCTTCATACTCCTGTTCATGGACTTCTCTTTCACTGTCTTCTGCATTATCACTGTTGTCCTGTTCTGTTCTGACATCAGTTTGGAAAAGTGAAGCGATTTTCTTTGGAGCTGAGTAACTTCTTTGCCTTCGATTGTCTGAAAAATATTTATTCTATAATTAATAATTAAAATTAATGAATCAGAGCTTCTAATAACTAGCTGTGTATTTCAGTACATGCTTCCTAATGAAAAGTGAAAGTTTTAAGTGACAATTCAGTCTTGGCTGTAGTTTATCAAAAGTGCAATAAATGAAAAATAATAAAACAAAAGGTCCTACTGTATGTTCACTGGCATATGTTTTGGGCCTGACTCAGAGTTTTCTTTAGCCAGAGTCACTTTAGCCTAAGCCACTAGGCAAGGGCTAAAATAACTATGAGAAGGACCCAAAACATATTTATGCCCAAGAGCATAAACTCTATTATTATTTTATATTAGGACTTTTAGGGAATTGAGAAAATAAAACCTGAAAAATAAAATGACAACAAACAGTCTGAACAATCACTCAAGCATGCAAGAAGGCTAAATTCTAAAATCTCTATTTTAGCCCATACACATCACAATGCCTGCCAAAGTGATTATAATAACAGATATTTATTCAAAGAATTTCATAATTACTACTGATGATTAACATTTGAAAAACTACCACATTATTGAGTCAAAAAAGAATATACAACTATTTGTTTGTCAGAGTACTTAATGAATAAAGAACAATTAATCTACCATTCTCATTGATGACAGTGCACAGGTTCTCAATGGACTGTGCTTTCTTTCTCATTCCTTGAAATTCACTGTCATCATCGTTCTCCTCTGCAATTGCAAGGAAGACAGGTGCCAGTACTTCTGTTCCAGCAACATCGACATGCTCATCAAATGATAGTTCTCGTAGTACTATTTTCTGTTTTCTCTCTGAAAATGAAATTGATATATGTTTTCAAACTTTTCTCAAGAAGTGACTTTCAAAAAAGACGAAAAAAGGTTCATGTTATGATAAGTAACCACTGCAATGCTCTCATCAAAAACCAACTACAGTACCTCAACTTCTCTTTGAAGAATACAGAAACTCATATATCTTGAGAAGGAAATAATATTTTTTAAAAAATATAGAGGCCATTCTTATCTATTTTGAACAGCCTTTCAAATAAGCAGCAATTGCTTTTTCCTTTAAGGTACTTAAACTAAAATAAAAAGATTCAGTTTGGTAAAATTATTTTTAAAATAAACTGCCTCATACATCTCCGGGCTCTGACATATAATGATCATTGAAATCCCATTGGTCTGTTTAGCAATTCTGCATGGTCTGCCTCATAGACATCTCATGTAGAAATTATTAGGCTGTATGAACTTGTTTAAAAAATTATTTTTACTCAATGAAAATTGAACACACCTGCATCCAATGAATTCAAGTTTGTAAATATTTCCCCTTCATCCCACATACCACCATCTGGATCAAACTCCAGAGATGTCTCTAAAGCACCAGCTACACTGCTAGAAAAAATCTGTTCATCATCTGAAAGCTCATCTGTTTCTCTCTCATAGTGTATTTCATAATCATCATCAACGCCTATTGATGCAACATCAGTTCTTGTTTCATTGTCTTGATCTTCACTGTTTATATATTTCCTCTGAGATTTCCTCATGTCATTCTTTGTTTTTCCATCACTTTCAGGTAATGCTTCTTCACATTTAGAAGTATAATCTGCTACCTGTGTGCTTGTTTTGATATGTGATGTGCTATTGTTACTCACTATCAGCTGACCATTTTTCTCATCATTGTTGGTTGCTATGGATTCAGAAGTAGACAACTTTGCCAATGCTGACTTAACAATGTCTGCTGAGAGAAATCCAATATAATCCTGGATGGCTGTAGATTGTTTGAAAATTGGAAGAAGATCTTGGATGCTGTCTTGATCAAGAGAATTCATTCTTTCTTCCCCATTACATTCTGTTGGTTTAGTGTCCCTTGTGTGGATCGCAAAACTAGCATCATGTAATGACTCTGTGATGACAATACGAACAAATCTATCACAGTTCAATTTCAGTGTTTCTAAATCAAGATTACTGAGTTTTTTAGCCACTGAGACCTTGCTATCAAGAAGCACCTGCTTATGAGCTTCACTGTTGATCCTCTCTGACCACTGCCCATCCAAAAGTTCTGAAATCAAATCATCAATGAATGTTTCACAGTACTGTTCCAGGGCTAATATTTCACTCTCATTTAGTGACAATCTACCCTCACTTAATCCAGCTCGTACTCCTGGATTTAGAGAAAAAATCAAGGCCTCTTTAATTGTCATATTGGTGGCCTCCTCACAGATCTCATTCAAAAGGTCTAAATTAGGAGAGTCCATATCCGCTGCAAGATTTGTTCCTTCAGCAATTTCTTTGCCACTATTTTTTTCATGTTGTAAATTTTGGTCATTCATAAAAGCAAAAGTAATTTCTTTGTATGTTGAATTATTCAAATCTTGTGTGAAATCATCAGCTCTGATGACAACGTTACTCTCCCGAAAAAAGGGATTCAGAGATTCATCAAAGGATTCTTCTGACAAATAACTTGGCTCTTGTTTCATGGTCACATCCTTTACATCAGAATCATCTTGAAATGAGCCATGGGCAGTAGCCCAGGAAGTGTCTTGAGCAGAAGTCTCACTAACATTTTCAGGACTAAAGGTCACTTGATGTAGAGTTTCTTGCTTAGATAGGTCCAGAATATTCCCTTTCTCTGCACCAAAACTGTCTGCAGTCACTGTAACATTTACATTGGATGATGCTGAGGTATAAAGTGACTGGGACTCGTCTCTAGAATTCTCCTCAGTTGAATTTTCCCTGGGGGTATGAAAGCTTTGTTCTTGTGAAAAACTTTCTTGATCCTGAGACTGAGTGCTAGATTTGCACCCAGAATTTAAAAGAGGAGACAGCACAACCTCTTGATTTGATACCTGTCCATTTGTAATTACTAAACCTTCATTTTCACGAAGGGACACATTTTCAGTAGGAGTACTAGTTCTTTGGTTATATGGAAGCCCTGGTTCATTGTCTTGACCACTGTCTTCCAAAAGGAATGGTTCTAAAGACTTGTCTGCTTGAGAGTACTCAGTACTATCCATTACTTTGTTGTAGTGAAGAGCTGAAACTTTTACAGAAAGACAAATGAAACAGAACAAAATTTAGTGCAAGTGATTATAAAACAAACAAACAACTTATTCATTATTGTTAAAAGCACTACATTCAAAGCTCCTCAGACTCACAAGTCATATAGAATTCCTTAATCGTATTTTGAAAAAACAGCAATTCCTTCCTACACTTTGGAATGAATTTCAGGAACACATGAATTTTCCCTAGTTTGATTTGTTTTTTTTTTTTGCAATTGTTCAAAGGTTCACTTCATCAGTTGTTCAACACAAAACTAAGGCAGGCCTTGATTGTTAAACAAATTCTCAATCAGTTCCATAGAAAATGCATGGAGAACAATATAGAGAATATACGTGCAGATATGAGGCTACATACATACCTACATACGTTTATTGTAACTCCCAACTTGGGCTTTTCAGTTACAATGTACTGAAAAATTACTTTAAAAATTAAGTTCACTCAATACAAATTTAAATGCTCTCCACTCAATAGCTTCTGCACTAAACGACGCCTGAAGCTATTTACACTGTCCACAGCTTTCAAGTCATTAGAAATACAGTTCCAAAGTCTGCATCCACAACAGACAACAACGAGAGATGTGCAAAAGATTGTCTGATTGTGTAGTCCTAGTGTGAATACGAGAACTAGTTACAAATATATTGGCCAGATATTTTGAACTAAATCATTAAGACATGGAAATTCCAATACAGCATCGTTAAGGAGTCTATCCTTAACAGTAAGCCAGTTAAGGGATCTTATGCCTTCTGAGATGCAGTCATATTTCCTAGGACCTAACACGATACACACAGCAAAATTCTGTACTAGTTGGAGTTTCTTTACGTTGCCTTAAGAAGTGTTAGGGTAAGAATTAATACCCTATGATAGAGTGAATTTTGTAACATTCAACAGAGCCTCTAGGCTATCCTTTGAGCAATGAGTAGAAGAATAGATTTTACAATTTTGAATGTCTTTTTTTTAATTTTTGGACTCATCTTACATTTTTATGCCAAGTAAGAAAGACTTGCTCACCCTCACTCTTTGTAAATCAATGGCAAACTGGCCAGTCACTAGTGTTTACTTCGAATAACAGAAGTAATTAACAAAAGTGCTCTAGATATTGGGACCAGAACAATGCTCCCATATCTTAAATGAAGATAAACAAATATCTGACTGTCTACATGATATCAAAAATCTCCTGGAAATTCAATTTAAATATTCTGAAATGGAACATGTACGATTAACACACAGCAGTGCTAAAATTCTTTCTAATTTACAAATCATGTGATTTGACCAGTAAAAAAAAATAGTAGGCCAATATCCACAAATTTATTGGATGAGCTGAATCACTCCAAAAAATTATAATTATCATTATGCATTCACAAGATACTAAGAGATTGTCTAGAATAATTCCTTTTAATCTCCTCCATTGTCAGTCAAATTTAAAATCAATCAAGCAGCAATATTAGTATTGGCCCTTTTAAACCTGAAAAGCATATTTTATTCACTATAAATAGTAAACATTAACACACTGAAAAACTTAAAAGCTCAAGTAACAACAGAAACATACATAATTGCACAGCAAAATCACTTATCTGAACTCTTAATAGTAAAAAATTTTAAATCTTGAGTTCTTTAACATCTCATGTACCAAGGGAATTAAAAACATCAGCTGCCATTTTCTTTATGCTCAAAAAGTAAGCTTAGCTCTCTTTGGCAAAGGATCAAAATTTTTCATGGCTGTAATTTGATACTTCGTGCATTTTGCCAAGTGCAGCTGGGTTCAGAATGAAATCCAATCCAAAGAAAGGGAAACTATGCATCTCAGCGATCTCAGTGTTATTTGATTGTAACAAGCCCAGGCATAGATTCGCATGAAGCAAATCCTACCAAATACAAACAATGAAAGGACTGACCTAACGTTCAACACAATAATAATTTGTGCAGTAGTCACTTAGACCAATGTTTTCCCTGATCAACGTATATTACGGTTTACCAATGGCTACCTTTTGGGAATAGCAGGTTTACGGTACAGTAGAACTTAACATCTCAGAGCGCAATCAAGTTTCTGAGCTTCAGCTATGACCTAAAGCGATATTTTACAAGGCTTGCTTCAATATCAACTCTGAGGCTAAACTCACGGTAGAACTGAATATAATTTCGCGTATTTTCATTTAAATATCTCAGTCAAGAATGAAAAATCGAAAAATCGATCCGTAGGGCACGAAAGATCGCTTAATCAAATTAGCCTTTAAAACCGAAAATACTAAGTTAATTTCCTTATCCTCGATTTCCTCAGAAGAAACGATAGAGTTTGACATTGCGCGAAAGATTTACCGCATTTCACTTCAAGAAACGGTCACTTGAATTTGGTACGAACAACATAAACAAACCTACCATATTCCTTGTGAACTTATGATGGTAGTACAAGGTTTGTTGTCATCACCATTGCACCCCTCGTTTAAATGGGATAGAAATGTAAATAACAAAATATTCAAAAACTACGGCGACAATGAGTCGATAGCTCTATTTGAGCTCTGGGTAATATTTGGCGCCACTCTCTTTACAGCCTCTATCTCAAAACGAGGCAACAAGCTTGGTCTTGTCTTTTGGATCTTTGCGTGTTTCGGGCAAGCGAAGGCACGCGCGAGGGTCCCGTGAATTCCTCCTCTCGCCTCTTAAAAGCCTCAAGACTTTGATAGGGATGAAAATGGAACCATTTTGTCTATAACTATACCAGCCTAGCTTTCATTTTGGTTAGTAGGACCACACGGTCAAATGGCTGAGATAAAAGAGGAGGAATTTGCAAAGAAACCATGACCCACCCGACTAACATCCCCCACCCAATCACAAACACATACGCTTGCAGAGGTGATTATTGAACGAGCATGACATCTCAAAAGATGTAAAAATATACATAGAAAAAAGTCGTAATCTCCACCTCCTGATTGGGCGTTTACAAAACCGGGACCGGATCGGATCGGATCGGATCGGATCGGATCAGATCGGATCGGATCGGATCGGATCGGATCAGATCGGATTGACAAAACCTGGACCGGATCGTACCGGATTAACAAAACCCAGACCGGATCCGAAAAAGATCGGATCGCCATAAATTTCCCGCCAAGTGTTGAGGTAAGAACGTACCTCATATTGGAGCTATCCACTAGTAAACGTGGAAAACATCCAAAAATCCATACAAGTTCTGCAGCCTTAAGAGAAACATCTCAAACACGGTGACTGTTTTTCTTGCCATGCACTGTGTGAGCGCTAAGCCTCACGGGAGTTACAGGTGATGATGTTTAAGTTTTCGATCGGAAGTAATGACGCCTGCTAAGTAATTGCCGGTCAACTGAGGCCGCTACGATTTGACCGTAATTGATTGTAGTTGAAAATGAATATCCACAGACGTTCTCAAGCTCACAATACAAAATGATAGTTATTTTATTACTAGCGGACGTGACCGTGACGGGAAAGTGGTGTTGTGTTACAATGCAAGTGGCATATTGTGACAGTGTTGCGAAAAGCGGTGTTACATTACAATGTCGACCGTCGAAGTTGAACGCTATATATATAAAACAGCGTATGGAGTCCGTAATAGCGTTCTATCAAAACGTTCGTTATGATATTGATAATTTTTAATGAGTGCTTCTAAAAAGGCTTTTCGGCAACTATTTACAATGATGGGTCAGTAATTTACAATAATGTTTAAATAAAATAAAAAAAATAAAAAAATAAAAAAAAACTATGCACAACGTGCAAGGCTACAAATGTGTTTCTTATTATGGCATAATTATGTATAGTTTTCAAAATAATAAAGTATGTGGACTTCCATCGTCTGTTTTCTGTAGTTCTTAATGCCTGTTTAGGCGAAACAGCTATGCCTTTAGTGTAGTGAGCTGGGGGCGCCTGTGGAATATCTTATACGAAAAAAAACCATTACAACTTTGCTTCACTGAGCTGCGAAAAAAGGCAGTCATACTTCTATGCCAAAACTTGATCATGAGATATTACGTGACTATTTTGGTGGGAACTTTATGGCGATCCGATTTTTTTTCGGACCTGGGGTCCATTTCTCGAAAGTCCCGATAACTTAACGGGCCCGTAAAGCTGTTCTGTTTTCATTCAAGATGGGGACTTCAAAAGTTTTGAAAATGATGTAATAAAACTATCAGCTAAAGAAACAAAAAGGACTGGTTTGGATGCCAGAACCTGCTTTCCTATCCTTTAAATTTTGATTTCAAAACATAGTTACGGGTCCGTAAAGTTACCGGGACTTTCGAGAAACGGGCCCCTGGTCCGTGTTTTGTCAATCGGACGCAATCCGATCCAGGTTTTGTTAATGTGGTCCGATCCAGTCCTGATTTTGTCAATCCGATCCGATCCGATCCGATCCGATCCGGTTTGGCTTTTGTAACGCCCCTCCTGATTACCCTATTATGGTACCTAGCTGAAGAAGGAGTGACTTAAATCAAAACCTTTTCCATGCAAGACTTGAATATAATAATTATCTAAACTGTCCACTTTTTAGATAGCCGATCAAAAACAGTGATCCTAGAAAACCCTTCTGTCAAATGGGTCTATATTGCATGCCCAAAATTGGATATAAGTTTCTGAGCCAGTTCCGTAATCTCACGTGTACTGTGGCACTGTTTTACGCCGATCTAAATATATCGAGACTGATTGAACACCTGACGGATATCGAGGTTTGACACCCTCTTCTAGTTAAATTGAGAGTTGTATAAACTTTCATTTTCGTTGGCAAAATGCCTAGGCTCTCAGACGGGTGCAAGAAAGGGCAAGGCCTGGGTGTAAAAACTGTAAACAACATCGCTGCAGTCATTTGACCAAACTGTTACACACTGAATGTAACATTCAAACAGCCGATTTAAAGAAAAAAACATCAGTGCGCCAATCGAAACCGAGTTTCCTACAACTCGATGGCGAATTGAAGTATCTTCGACCAGGTGTTTGAAAGGAGTACTTCAATGATCTGTTGTGACACATCAAACACATCAAACGGTAAGGTTTTTGTCTGCAGTTGTTTTCAGTCTACATCTCGCTTCAGATATTGTTTACAGCTATCAACTTAAAACAATTATAGCTGTGCTTGCAAGATAGGTACACTTTGTAGGCAGAAGTAGCTAACTCAAATTAAGCGCGATCTCTTATCTTCTGATGCAACGAAGAAACTTTCGTGGAAACAACAACTGTAGCGCTGCAATACCATTTCTGAAGTGTCAGCCTGCTGAACGAGTCACTTGCAAAACTGATAGGCCTTCTATACAAATATATAGATGGAAGTGTCCATTGTAGTTAATTTTTATCGGGTTTGTTATGACTTATGATTAATTGAAATTGCATTTAACACTTTTGTACGTGCCTGACTACAAAATTGTTAAATTAAATCTCTTTGATATTTGAAAGTCCTCGAATTCATTGTGCCTCGCAAAGTAAGAATGTTGATAGAAAAAAATGTAGAGTCGCTGTTGAACTCCTAGTTTTATTTCCATTTTTCTTGTTTCGTATTTTTGCTTTATTTACATCTCGTTCTATACTCCAAGTCCATATTCCACGAGTCCATCCTGTTTTATTTGTAACTCAACCAAAACAAAGACGGTAAAAAAACCCAAAACAAAGACGGTAAAAAAACCATCTCTGCGTGACATCTTAATGTCTACTCTGGAACGAGAGCTTCGTCGTAAAATTCCAAACGAAATCTTACCTGATGGACCTCTAGGGAAATTTGACTTCCAAACGGCTAGAATTTGGCGTTTTACTTGAGCTACAGATCAAAAATCCGTCAGAATAATTATGCATATGTGCTGCGGACTATTATCAGTTCCACGTGTAAATTCGCTGTATTTTTGTCAAGTTTACTCGTGATTGCCTCGAGAAATTATTCTTCGAGCGAGAACCGAGAACTGTGGGTAAACCTGAATCTGGTAAGTTTTGTTATTTTAAACAAACGCGCGATGTTTCCTAATTTCCAACTCTGCAGGGAAATGGTTGACAATCTATTTCTAGTCCTTATTATGAATAACCCTTTGTTGTTTGAGTCCTAGAAAATCGGGCAAACTTGCTGGCTTTCGAGAAAACAATCGTTACCGAAGGAAAAATAACCAAAAATGTCCTAAGGAAGCAAGCGATAGTCTGTGTAAACACAAGGTGTTAGGAATTTTTAGTTAACTTTCTAACCTTGTTTTCCCTCTAATATTGAACTTTATTGAACGCATCACTAATTCTTTAGGTGTAAATGGATGGTGGCTAAATTCATTTATGAAAGCTCGTGCATCTGTACTGGTTGTATTTAAGAATTTGAATCAACCTTTTAACTTTCTCATGCGCACACGTGTTGTGTTAGTGGCAAAGCTGGCAGACAGTCCATGTACAATGTCGAAGGCGTCGCAAATACTTTGTTATACGTTTGCTTTAGCACGTTTTGAGAGCCCTACTTTAAAACAAAAAGATCTTAAAATTTTCCCTGTACAAGGAAACGTACCAATTAAGTAATATTTTTCAAAATGTAAGCTAGGTAATTTCTGAGGATATTACAACATTGTTATGCACCCAAGTTCGATAAACATGAGGAAGCGTAAGTTCCACGTAATCTGAAATTGGTAATTAGCACACAGCATGAAGGTCATTTTGATTACTTGTTCAGGGGGGAAACAAATTCGAACAAAAATGATGATAACAGTAAAGAAACACCATGGTACAGGATTACTTTGTTAGAGATTTTCTACTCCAATATCTGAAAAAAATTCGGTAGATTTGGAAAACTAGCGATAACTGATCTTTCGTTTCATTTTTGCATATTCGCCCTGTTATGCATGCTCCTTTCATTTGATCGATTTTTAAAGAAAATAATCCCTAAGATGATACTAAATGGGACAACAAAACAACAAGGCGAAGAAGGTGCATTGTGAGTAATACGGTAAACGAAGTTATTCAGTCAGTCACTGTGTTTAATTTAAGCTGTATATTGACTGCCTAATCCTTTGGGATGAAAAACTGCCTTCTTGAAGCACAAGTAGCTCAAGCGTGCCCAATGAGCGTCCGTAAATAAGCAAATATGTTTAATAATAATAATAGCAATGATAATAATAACAATGATAATAATAATAATAATAATAATAATAATAATAACAATAATAATTTTCACTGCGAATCGCCGTCGCAAAGTACAGCGTGTAGCAACGACGCAGCTCAACAACGTCGAACAGAAAGCTTACACTGAGCCGAAAGTTTGCATTGCTCCATGGGCGAAATGCGAGGATTGTACATTGTATAGGACATTCTTATTCAAAACTAGTTCAAATATTTAGGCTGAAAGTGTAACGTTTATTCCCATACAAATCATTACATTTCGCTCATTGTGCAAAGCAAACAAACATATACGCATATATGAATATTTACGGCTCTTTGTGCGAACTCGGGCTACCTGTGGTTGAAGTGAATATTAGTTAAATGGTGGGTGTTCATGCGTGACTTGCACAAATACTTCACGTGAGCTGACTAAGTATTAGAACAGAGGGTGCATTTTTCAAATTGGTTAGTTCAGTGTTTGTTACTGCTCTAAAGATAGAAAAAAACGAGAAATAATAAGTATTTGCGGTATCATTCGTTACAAGCTCAGTGGATGAATATGACTTCTCAGGGGTTTTGATGACGTTAGTTGTTATTGACTATAGCTATCACACCTAAGTAATGAGCGTCTTTCTTTCTATCATTCCAAACATATTTTGTGCTTTATTCCACCCCATTTTTCTTTTGGCGAACGTTCACGGTGTTGTTTTCTAACCACATTCACCGGTGAGTCTTCGGGAAAGCAGTGGTGGAAACCTAACCCATTTTATTTTTACTACAGATTCTCAATGGCAGAATTGTGTTCACCATACTACAGTACACCATATTTCCTCTCAGACGCAGGGATAAAAAATGCTTGCGACAAAAACAACAACAGCAGCGAAAGCAAAGGCGCAACTGCATCTCTGTTGACAGACGAGTTTTTTCAAAGTATCCTTGGAAGAAGAGGAACACTTCTTTCTTTGTATCCATTTGAGGTAATCGATATATATTCCACCGTAAACGATAATAGAAACTAAATTTGAATCTACGTAATTACATGTACGTTTGAATTGCATACTCAGATCCCTCAGCAAAGCATCGGCCTAACTACAACATGCAAAGCCATACAAGATGATGATCGAATGATTGGGCACCAGGGATTTGAAATCACCTACAGACCGAGCTCTGGTGAGTTTCATACTTGCTTCTTTTTCTTGCATTGTTTGATTTAAAAAATACTAAATTATCACTTTGTTAAGCCTCCCATGTGGCCACAGGAAGGAAATAAAGTTGCGCTAAGCTTGTTCCGCGTCATAGAAGAACTGTCTGAAAGCATATATAGATATACTAAAAACCGATTTCAAATCACTGCAAAACGTCAAATTGAGCTCGAGTCTGATACACGATGAGTTGAAATTGCACAGAGTTTAGAGGGCGCACAGTTAATTCAGTGCTTTCTATTTAGGTAGTGACATGATAGATTTGATTTTTGTTCCACCAACTAATTCAATCGCAGGAGATTCAGCAAGGAAAACACTTCGAGTTGTCGCAAAATGTAAGCCACTGGCACTTAAGTTCGTTAACATCTTTGGAGAATGGATCGAGAAAAAAAGTGGAGACGTAAGCCAGTATGCTGGGATGTTTCGCCGTGTGTCTTATTTCAGGTGAATTTCCTAAAATAGATTAGTTGCAAAGATATAAGGTCTCCATCTTCACCTTCCCACCTGTGCGTTACCAGCTGAAGAAATAAAAAAATGTAAGCGCGTTAATATAATAAAACAACAAGGAACAGCTAGGCATGGTGTTAGGACAAGGAAGGTAGTTTAATCTCAAATTAAATCAATTTGCAAGATAAACAGATGCTGACATATATGTAGCTTGAGGGGGAAAGGGGAGTGGGGTGGGGCCTACCTTGTGGGACTTAAACATGTTAACATGTCTACACTTTGCAAGCCATTACATTTCTAGGGTCAAATACAGCTCCAGTGATCAGTTCACTGGGTTCAACACCCGGTCGAAAGGTTTGGGTTACTGTGGCGACTGTGACTGTGGCAAAGGCAGCTTACTTGGACAGCCTTTCTTCACCCATCACCTCTGTAGGTTAAAGCAGGGGAAAATGCTTGACAAAAAACACTCAGAGAAGAGAAAACTCTCAGCGATAAAGACCGCTAAAATTTGATTGTTTCTTTCGAAATTTATATGATCATCTTATTGGTTTTCAGGAACTCTGATGTAAGGGAGATTAAAGTAATGACAACGCAAGACCCAAGGTTTACAGACATTGCGCCGAAAGTTTATCACACTGTCTGTGATCCTTCTAAGGTAAGGACAGTCTGTTTTATTCCTTTTCAGTCAAAAAACCACCTTGTCGTGAGTCAAATCCTTGCATTATTTCAGCAGCTTGGCAAACCGTAGGTTGATATCTGGAATCTGGAGGCCTCTTCAAAGAAAGTAGAGTTCAATGTTGGCGAGAAAAGAAATGCATATTCAAGTTGATTGCAAATTCTGAGGCGAAATCAAATTCTTTTTGCTGCAATACGTTTACTCGATTCCCATCCATATTCGTTCCTTGTAGCTTCTTTCTTTCCTTCCTTCTATCTCTTCTACCTGCCTGCCTCTTCTGCTGCTTACCTACTCACTTCTTCATTGCTTATTAGGAGGTATTTGTTATAGTTATGGAGGATCTTACCGATCACGTGACACATTTCAACACCATCAATAACGCGTCAGAGGTCTGGGATCAAGAAGATATTAAGGTAAGTCGCACTGCTCTACGAATCTTTTGTAATTTGATGGAAAGGAGAAAAGAAAATTAAAGTGACAATGCCACTCTAACAAAAAGTAAGCACTGGTTTTTTCTGGTGTGGCCCAAAAACGCAAAGACGCCATTGTTCTTGTAATTATATTTCATCAGCACCTATAGAACGTGCTCGTTTCCAAGCCCCCTTGTCTCTCACTGTGCCCGGTCTTCGCAAAGGTTTGGCTGTATTAACGAAGACATGGTGCTAAAGTCAATCATGTTTCTTTAATGCGCCTGCCGTAAGAATTCTTTTCGTTGCAATTATTCATGACCTTGCTGAAATATTTACATGGTACGAGACGCTAACTATTGTTATTATTATTAAAGTGGAACGCCGCCTTACGGCCACTTATGGCCCTAAAAAACGGTCAAATACTTTTATATAAAAACCCTCGTTAATGTGGTCACCCGTTAATAAGGCCGACGGCGACATTTTAAAATCCCAAACAGTAGAATTCTTAATTATTCATTCCCTTTATACGGCCACTCGAGAAAAGTCGGAGAGCTCAGGTATCTTTTTTCCGAAGCATAGTAAGCTGAACCTGTTTTTCTTGTATTTTTATATTATGGCAGTCTGAAAATGCATTTGCGGGGGTTTAATTAATATCTAATTTTTTAAAGGCATATTATGCATTGAGTGAAGTTTCTATTATTTTTTTTTATAATAATAACTACATGCATATTTACATTCCAGTGGTTTATTAAAGAGAACGTCTGTTTTTGAGGGAGTGCGAATTGGATATATTTATCACTACGGCCCTTAAGGTGGTCTTCCACCCACATTTTCAAGACCACCTTAAGTCATGAAATTTGACCCTGGCCTGCTGAGACGGGCACCCCGTTTATACGGCCAATTTTATTTGGCACCTTGGTAACCACCTAATTATCATCATCATCATCATCACAGTTACTGCCATTATTAACTATTATGACTAATTCACTTTTAAAGGTGGTTCTGCGAGATATCGCCCGATTTCATAGCATCCACCTTGGCAACGTAACTAGCCTAGAATCTGAGCCCTGGATGTGCTTTTACAGCGGAAGCGTTATGAAGGCGCTCTCAGGTTTTTGGCGCGCCCTTTTGTGTCACAATCGTGCTACATTTCCTGATCTGTGGACTACGAAAAGGTGACTAAGGCTTTATATTCCTAAAAATATATTCTTATTTGTGTTGTCCATGCTAACAATTTAAACACGAAGGCGCGCTATAAAAGGAGCCTTAGGTCCCACTGGACCATTTGTCAATCAACCGTCGTGTGATGTAGAACTCTCAGAGACAAGTCAGCTTGAGCTACAGCTACTCCAAAGCAGTGAACAGAAATACTCAAAAAAATAAGCTTACTTCGTTAAGCGAAAAAAACTTTTTGGGTGTAGGTGCACTTTAAGCGTTTCCACCCTAACATCAGTATGCAACTCCTCCATACTGTTTTCTATCATTACTTATGGTACTTACAAAGTTAAACGCCGTTTTCACAAAAAATAAATAAATAACAAAAACAACAAAAAAAAACTTTTGAAAGATTTGAAAAGCAAAATTCTCGTAACAACCTGAATGGATCGCTTTAACAAGGTTCTCGCTCGGTAAGTGGTTCCTTATGGACGAAACATTTTCTCCTCGCTGGCCACATATGATTCGCGCATTCGCTTAGCGTGAGGCAACTTAAAACCAGATGGATTACTTGTCTTTTCAATGGGTGGATCCAAGTGTATAGAGTGCTTTTACACTGAGTGACGTAAAAACCAAAACCAAAACCAAAGGAAAATATCATAAAGAACCAGTGAGAACTCAAAGTTGAAATCAGTAAACTCTTTGGCACGTGTAAACGCACGTGGTTGGTTTTTGTCTTGATTCTGATTGGTTGCGAAAGTGGCACGGGTTTTCTGGACCAATCACAGAGCGAGGTAAAGTACACCAAAAGAAATCTCGGATCACTTTTGACGCTTGCTAAAAAATTGCTCTATATTATGATAAAAATCGTGTTTTTCTCTTTGTGTTAGGACGAACCTTGTCAGAAGTTTTATTGACAACATGGATCGCGTCTGGAAAATAATCGATTCGTTTCCAAGGACTTTAGTCCACTATGATTTTACTCCAAGAAATGTGTGCCTCCGCAAGCAAGAATTTACAACGGAAGATAATCACAGCCGCTTCTTTATCGCAAACAACAAATTAAGTCGAGTGTCCTGTATCTACGACTGGGAAATGGCAACAATTCATGCTCCTCAACATGACATGGTAGAGTTCCTTGCATTTGTTCTTCCAGGGAGTGGTGAGGTATCGACCCGTACAAACCTTGTGCGATTTTATCAAGAACAGCTGGAAAAATCAAGTGGAATGACTTTTAACTCGCAAAAGTTCATGAACGTTTTTATTGCAGTGTGTTGTGTGTATGCATTGCATCAACTCTCCTTGAAGACCATCACTCACTCAGTTACGCGGTTACCCTATTTTGAGAGAGCTGTTCAATCGCACATGGGATTCCTGGAGGACTTGGAAGCAATGGGCTGTCTTAAGTTCCTTTATGAGGAGCCAGTTTAAGGACAATCCTTACCTATAATGATATTGAATATCATTAAGCAACCGTCTGACTTTGAATGACACGATATTCTAGTTTTGAATCGACATATCCATTCTTGTTTGTTTTGTCAAAGGTTAGAACTCAAATGCCAGTGTTTCTTTATTCCCTAAAGGCTCAATGGCCCGCCGCTGTTCGAGGCTCTTCAAGGATGAAATCAAGACAAAAACTCGAGAGAACAGAAAATATTGAGCCTAAATTTTCTATGGCGCTTTACTTTATTTCAATCAGTTTCATGGGGCACTTTAACATCAGAGAAATCTTGTTATGAAAATTTTAACAAGGAAATGCTTCGTAGAGTGTCGTAAAACCAATCATTTTTTAGTGTCACGCAGCCTTACAGATTTACTGTTTTGCGGAGCTACTCTTACATTTATCATTTAAAAATATCTTCACGGATTATCCATTTAATTAATCTCTTAAGTCAATCTCAAAGGCTGGGAAATAAGTCGAATTGTCGACCTTTGGTACTCCTCAGTTTGACGTGATTCAGTTTTTTGTGGGCGCCTCAGGTAGCTGAAAGTAGCGACCCCGTCAGAATTTGTTCTAACTTCATCAAAATCGATTAGGAAAATAAACTGAGAGAATTTTTGATGTATCCGAGTGCAAGCTACTTTCCACTTATAATGGTGAAATATATTTTGGGGAAAGGGGTAAGAGGTAATAAGTGATTTAGTTTTTAGCTCAAAACCCTCCTACCAAGCTACCACGATTAGATGATCACATCACAGGATCGAAAACGTTAAGAAATTTAATTAAAAGAAAATAACTACTTTGCAACAAGGAAAAAGTATGGTTGTCTTAACTCAGTAATTGGGTAAGATTTTTATATCTACATTATACAGAATAACAATAAATCATTACGGAAACAAATAAGTTGCTAAGTGTCAGTAACCTGATAAAATTTAGATCTAAAAATAGCGAGCATCACTTTCTGTAACTCCCCTTCCCCTATCGCCGGTACGAGGATTCTCCGGGCAGTTCTCACTGGGGAGGTTTTAGGAATTCTTCCGAAAAATATTTCCTTGATTGAGAGGATGAACGTGACATCACTTTGATGTCACGTAATGTGTCACACTACTCAAAGAACGGCAGGCGTAGGAGACTATTGCGTGACTTACATTATCGACAGAGGTCAGACAAGATCTGTTTGTACTCCACGCACAGCTCTTTATATCGTGTCTTTAAGCACGCTTGGCAGCTTTGAGCTACAAAGACGCCACGAGCGGAAATGTGTAATGGCGTCCCTTTACAACCAAACAATGCTTCTTTACCTAGTCGTTACCGTTGCACTATCTTCAGTTTTCGCAGAGCATGTCTTGGACAAGGACAAAATCGACTGTTATCCAGAGATTGGAAACCAAACTCTCTGCGAGGCGCGGGGGTGTACATGGGAGGAATCACGATCAAAGGTAATGACCTGTATGAGTCGAAATAATTACTGTGTTACCGTTGGAAGCGAGGTTCCCTGATCAAATTGAAGGCGAGTAACAATGATTTTGATGAATTCGCCAAACCAAGTAAATAAGACGAAGAATTCCAGTGATTGGATTATCCGGCGTTCTGCATGTCACCCCCGTAACAGTAGTTTTACTGTAATGCTGTTAGTCAAATTATAACTCGAATGTTCTTGAAATATAAGGGAAATTATTCAATTATATTTTCTAGAAATCGTAAGTGCATGATTTTACTGAAAGCTCTAAAACGTTTACCGTTCCCTCGCATGGGCTGAGACATGTTAGTTCTCGAACATATGGGTGTTTTTTTTTTTGTTTTTTTTTTGTATTTATGATTCGATATCCAGTCCAGGTCACTTGTCATGGAGACCGAACTGAGTGTAATGCATTTTAAGGCTTTCACTGGTTGTCTCGTTTACTTAAGACAAAGATGATTTGAAATACATACAAATTAGATAAAAGGAAAGTGTGAGATAAAATGAAATCGACAAAAGAAGGGTGACAACTTGTCAGATTTAAAGTCAGTTTCAGTTTGCAGAATTTTTTTTGGTGTTTGTTTTTTTCTTTTTTCCATTCGTTTTGTGTTGTTTGCCTTTAATTTTCTTTTCTGGTTTCGGAGGTCAATGCCCTATTCTCCCAATAAACCGCGTAGAAGTACGGGTAACCTAAACTGAACTGACAAAGAAGTCCACGTGTTCTTTAACTGATATCATCACCCAACAGTTTTTGGATCAGGAAAACAGTTGTATTTAGAGAACAAGGAACTATTCGGAATTCAATCAAAAACTGTGCACATGTATCTCTCTCCAGTCGCATATTTCGTGTTTTCGGGATGGTTTTGGTTGCTGGATTCATAGCGAGTTAGACAGTATCCGCTTCTATTCTTTATTCAAGGGGGATCACTAGGACAACTTGAGTTATCGATTTCCCCTCTTCAGAGAAAGCTAACATATCACTTTTTCGAAAAGATTTTTCACGGAGATCAGGGGATTCGTTCAGTATCCGTGAGAAGCTGAGAGAAGGATAATGTATAATTTTACGATTATGTGAAAGAAGATGGTAAATGTCATACTCGGAGAAAAAGCAAACTTCGAGTGCTCACAATAAAGTCCAACCTACGACCTTCCGATTGGTACCTCGGATATCAGTGGGTTTCAGTATGATCTTCACAACCCCTTTTGGCACGATTAGAGCTTCAGGGCTCCATATATTTGTATAACTCTGCGATAACTGACTAAATTTTCCTATTTGCAGGGTGTTCCTTGGTGTTTTTTCCCTCAGTCATATCAAGGTGGATATAAGATAGATGGAGAGGTTCGAGAAACCCAACTAGGATACCAAGCCACTCTTAAAAGACGTTCCAGCACCACAATCTATGGGGACGACATCGACGAGGTTGTACTTGATGTAGAGTTTCAAACAGACGACCGCGTCAGATTTAAGGTAATGAATGAACTTATCCCTGTCACAATTTCAGGGTGATAATTCTGATTTCGTCGAGTGTGTGAGAAGTTGTGCTTCAGTGGCTACGCATGACTAGCGTGACACGAAAGTTGCATGCAAATTCCAGCCATTTTTTTCTTTCAGTTAAAAAGTTGATTCAAGGTCACGTTTATTTCTATAGCTCTACGACGCCAAGAAAAAAAGATATGAAGTACCAGTCCCCATAACAAGTACGACATCAAAGGCTTCAAATGCAAATTATAGAGCTGAGTTCCAGAGGGATCCTTTCTCCCTGAAAATACTGCGAAAAGACAACGATGTAGTCATGTAAGTGGCCTCAAAATATTTTGCTTCGGTTGTTCTCCTGACCTTCTTATGTTTTTCTTTTGTTTGTTTTGCTTCTCGAAGAACTGGCAATCGCGAGAAAGTACATGTTGTAAAAAGGAAAGATACGAAGCACAGAATTGTCTATTAATTTAGTAGTGTTGGAGACGAGTGTTGGAGACACTGCAGTCATGTGATTGGTGCTTTGGAAGCTCGATCTAAAGGTTTGGGTCCAAGTCCTCGTCGTGTCATGTAATGGAGTTTTTAAAAAGTGTCACGGAAAAAAATTAAAAAAAATTATGTTAGATTTCTTTCGAGTATTTTACAAATAGCTCCGTGTGTTAACTCACAGTGCCTGATTTTTCCCTTAGCACAACTTGGGAATGAGGCGCAGAGATCGAAATAAGAAATGCGGTTAAATAATTTTTCGCCAGTTGGGGTTCCTATTTTAAGATTGCGCAAATTTGCGATTTCACCTGTTGTTTTGACAAGACGGCCAGGAAAAGCCCAAAGTTTTAAAACAAACGTGCTGAGCAATTAAATAATTTGAATATATCAACAAAGTTGAAATGGTAAATTTGCCACCGTTACGATTATAAAAGCTGACGTTTCGAGCGTTAGCCCTTCGTCGGAGCGAATAGAGGAATTGTGGGTTGTGTGTGCTTTAAAGGCGGAAAAGGAGCTACGTGATTGGTGGGAACATTGCAACGAGAAAACCCGAATAAATTAGTGGAATAAAAAGCTGAGCTATTGTTGAGCTCATTAATCCCTTTTGTTTCTCTACTTGCTTGTTGCCGTTGCCGTTGCTGTTGGGGTTTTCGTCAAGTCCTTATTGTTGTTTTCTTGCGCAAGAGACTTTACTATGACAGTGCCTCTTCACCCAGTGCCTCTTCACCCAGTGCCTGTTCACTCAGTGCCTCTTCACCTAATGCCTCTTCACCCAGTGCCTCTTCACCCAGGGGTATGACTTGATGTTGATCGATGTACCTGAAGAAATACCATGGTAAGGGTGGGGGGTGATCTTGCGTTGGAGAGGAAATCCTTCATGATACTAAAACCGCGGGAGGATAAATATTTTTGGCTCGTATTCTGACGTTACCTGACAATGGTACTATTATAAAATTTTACAGATGGGACTCGTCCGTTGGCGTGCTTATATTTGAGGACCAGTATATACAGATCTCCAATAAACCCCCTTCTTTATTTGTGTACGGGTTTGGTGAACAGGAACATAAGTCATTCAAACATAACCTTTCAGCTTGGGAGGTGCTTCCCATCTTCACAAGAGACCAATTTCCATTTGTGAGTAGCTTCTCATGGATACAACTTGTTTTAAATGGCTGTAATCGTAGCTGTAAGCTATCTATCTGATTTCTCGTTGCAGAGTGGTGGAAATTTGTATGGCCACCATCCTTTTTACACTTGTATGGAAACCGATGGCAAATCTCACGGGGTTTTTCTAATGAATAGTAACGCGATGGGTGAGTAAAATCGTTCGAGATAAAGAAGCTTTGCATCGAAGGAACCATGTGTAGTATCCCTTACGTGTCATTTAGGGAAAACATGCTTTTCTTGGTAGCTTTTATTTTTGAAGCTACATCCATTTCTAAAACTCTGACATCGCCAATCAATAGAACGTCAAGTTCTTTTACTCAACCTACACTAAAAAGTAGACTCCCAAATGAATCAAATTCTGATTTGCTATTTTTACATTTAATGGCTCATTTTCATGTAAACGATTGAAACAAGGTGGACATTCAAATCGTTAATGTTTTCCTTGCTGCATTTTTTATAACTGTCTTATGAATAACTTACGCTTGACTGGTATTTCTTTATAGATGTCGCCCTACAGCCAAAACCAGCCATAACCTATCGTACTATTGGAGGAATTCTGGATTTCTACATATTTCTCGGTCCTTCGCCTGAGGACGTCATTAAACAATATACTGAGGTATTGACGGATTATGACAAAAAAAGGGGGGGGGGCAAACTGACATGTCGCCTTTTTTCACGCTAATCACTTTGCAAGTGATCGTTTTGAAACTAGACTTGTCTGCTTTTGCTAGGCGTTGCAGTTTATGGACATGAATTGTCAACTTGATCGATATGCCCATTGGGGAAATTATTTTAATTAAAATTGATGGTATTTTTTTGTCTGTTAGTCACAAGCTGCACTAAAGTTTAACTGTTGTTTTTCCAACAACTTCGCTGTGGCTTATGGTTCGGCTACCAACATTTGTAGTCATCTCATTTGAGATTAGTTTTGAATTGAAAGTTTTAGTGGTACATATAATCGGGAATGTCTACATTTTTGTCCATTTCGCACTTCAGAAGGTAGGTTTGAAAAGATTCAACGGTGGTTACGGCAGCTTCGGAAGGACAACTAACCGGAGCGGCTCACGGTAGGAAGAACTGGATGGGTGAACCCTCAAACAAAAACTGCTCACATTAATTTACAATCAATAAAGGCATACATATTTTGTTTTTGTCGCAGGCTATAGGTCGTACATTTTTGCCGCCATATTGGTCGCTAGGATTCCAGCTATCTCGTTGGGGATATAACAAGATTGAAACGGTAAAGAATCTAGTGGGGAACATGACTGAACAAAATCTACCTCAGGTGAGCCATAGCATTTTATGATATACACTGAAAACAAACACCTTCCTGATATTAATTTATTTAGATTTAAGTTTCGTCTGTAATAGACCTTGTCTTCCAGTCTCTTTGATCGATTTTAGGATGTGCAGTACGGCGATATTGACTATATGATCCGACACAAAGACTTTACGTATGATCCAGTCAGCTTCAAAGGGTTGCCTGAATTTGTTCGCTCAATCAAGAACGATGGCTTGCGATACATCATCATCCTGGTTAGTAATACTTTTTGTTGGGATCAATAGTCAGCAATATAACTTGACACTAGAACCTGGCACAGTCAATCCACTACTAGTGCTTGCTTAGGTCTCATAGCCAAGGCAACACGGCAAAACTGATCAATAAGTTCATACGAACCGTACTTATAACACTCGACTGACAACAACGCTAAGATTGTCAAAACGTCAGTTAATATTACCGAAACAGTCCTTCTCAGGACTACTCTCAGCTGCACGATCAAAAAATATAATCAGAAGTGTTTCCTTTTGTTTCACAACTTGGAGTTGGAAAATGTATCACCGAGCAAAGATGGCATTCAAGAGCACGTCAGCTCCCTTGATCACCTTTAATTTCCTTTAAATAGTAAACGTATCCGCATTTAAAAAGTCAGAACAGGCTTAGTTTGGTTTTAAACTTCGAACTCAGTTGAAACCTTATCACCAGGATCCAGCTATTGGAGCCAATGACACCGACTATCGTCCTTACGACCTAGGAAACGAACTGAATGTGTTCATCAAAGATGGAGATTCTGGAAAAAACCTGTTTGGGAAGGCAAGTAACTCATTATTGATCAATTCAGAGAACTCCTCTGTACGTCGCTAGTTAAGTGGCTTACAACACGATGACATTCATGATATTTTGACCTGTCCGGCAATAATAGCAAGGAAAGAGATGAACTCGCCGTTAAAAGAGCAAAAGAGTCTTATGGGAAAGCCATCTCTCCAGCGTCAAGAACATCAGGTCTACTTGGAATATTACTTTCCTGAATTTTCCAAATTACTCCCATTGTTTCCACAAAGCAATTTTCAAGATGTACGTAATGGGAACCACGTATATTTGTTTCTTGGCAAGTAGCGCAAGAAAGCTGAGAATGTTACATTTTACAAGAAAAACCCTCGAACTGACATTTCCCTTTAATGGAGGAGACAGATGGGGACAGGTAAAGGGGTAGGATGCGTTCGTTTCTCTAGCGCATACCTCATTTTACGGATATTTTTTTTCAGGTGTGGCCGACGTTTGAAAACATCACAATGAACGACAGCCTCCCGTGGGATGAAAAAACGAGGGTTGGTAACTTTGATTAACTTTCTCTTTTTGGTACATGATACACTGAAGGGGGAAAGTGCGAGGCACTAAGCGTGTCCCTTGTTGTAATTGCTTTATCGAGTGGGTAAGATGAGCGCACATTTTATCTTGCTCTTCAAGGCCGATTGTTTGATTTTTTCTAAATTTTCCCGAAAGCCTCTTTTTTGTAAATCTTAACCTGGTCTCCGGTTACAGATACATAATGTGGCATATGGGGCTATAGACTGAACAATATAACATGTAATACGTTACTTTTAATTAGTGATTTTAGCCTTTCAAAAGGGAATTTTCGCATACAACTGATTTGTTTTGCTCTCTCCTCAGCTTTACAGACAATTTGCCGCATTTCCAGACTATTTCCATCCAAACATTAGTAAATACTGGAAGAATCTCATTAAAGACTTTCACAAGATCATCGAATTTGACGGATTGTGGATTGTGAGTGTACAAATAAGATTGCTGAATTGATCTTTGATGATCTGCTGATGTTTTTATTCAGTGCCATTGTTAACAAGTGAAACTAAAAATTAAAGGTCTCTGCTGTAAGGGTACACGAATCACCTCAAATCGAAATACAACTATTCCGGTCTTCACCCATTTTCTTGCTTGATTATTCACCAGTGTATGATTATTGCACGTTCTCTCTTTAAATTGTATGATGAGGACTTACTTTAAGGATGAACACAACTTGAAATTGGACTCCTGGACCCCTTGTCATCTTTGAAACAACCAGTGGTGGAGTGGTGTATTGGGGATGCGCCGGACATCAAATTAACAACGAAGTTTCTTAATATACTCCCAGTCTTACCAGTTTGATTTTGCCTCCTTTTAGGATATGAACGAGCCGGCAAACTTTGTTGCTGGAAGAGTGGGTGGATGTAGTAAAAACAAGTGGGATTATCCCCCTTACAAACCAAGTGAGTAAGCGTGCCATAAAACCAGCAGTTGCTCTTCGCTTTTAACTGCAGCAGTTCGTCGAAAAAAGCCATCGACATACACTAGTCCGGGCTTAATGACGCATCACTTTGAAGAAAAATAGACCTTTACTCTTTCCTTGTGCGTCCCGCACCACCTTAGCTCTTAAAGGAAAGTTTTTTAATTTATTTTTCTCGTCATTTAGAATTATTTATTCAGATGGCAATGCTTCTTTGTGCTTTAGGGATTATTGGGGACATCATGGCAGACAAGACAGTGTGCATGAATGCGAAACAACACAATGATCTACACTATAATGTTCACAGCTTGTATGGATGGAGTCAGACATTGGTTACTCTGGAGTAAGTGGCTATGTAAAAAAAAATGGATTGCATGAAAATGGTCACGTTGCGAATTTGGTGCAAAGCTTTGATGAGATATCAACAGGCGTTTGTTACGAATATGGTGAACGAATGGTCATGTTAATGTCTATGAGTGCTAAAAGGAAAGGTCTACCAATGCTCAGCCGCATATCCTGCCTCTTTACCCCTCTCCTGTCAGTCAGTGAGGCTCGTAGAACAAAGTCCTGCTGTAGAGTTGTATCGAAATCGCCATTAGATTAAGTAACCATGAAATCGCCATTATTGTGGCTGATTAAGCTCGCAAAATCGCGGCTGGTTCTGACCAGAAATCTTGTTAAAAGACGTTTAGTGCTTTTCACGCTTCTGTATCTTTCTCCGATTGCTATCCGCAGTAGGAAGGATATTAGAAGCATGCAGGTCACATGTCACATATGAAGCCACTAATAGGCTTAGCTCATCTAGAGTCTCTGTAGCATATCGATAGGGCATTGGAGCGCGTAATCCCTTGGTCTAGGGCTCAAATTGTTTCTTAGTCATGCGCGTAACATGACAAATAACATCTTTCTTGAACGTTCCATTTCTTTTAGTGCGGCTAGGGAAAGTACAGGAAAGCGAAGTATCGTGATCTCGAGATCAACTTTCGCCAGCAGTGGAAAATATGCTGGTCATTGGCTTGGAGACAACAAGGCATCATGGGACCAGCTCCATACATCGATTATTGGTAAAAAGAGCGCAGTGCATTAATGAATATGGTTGAATAACTCAGCTTTCTTTCTACCATTACATCACTTCCTAAGGGAAGAATCCAAACAAAAAGAAAAATTTGCAAATCTTTTTGCAGCAAAATTTATTTGAAAGGTGCATATTGTACCTCCGGTTTTCTTTTACCTCAGATCCTCTTGCTTGGGGTTACTTTTAACGTTTTTCTCGTGTTATCTATGTTTTAGGGATGTTAGAGTTCAACCTGTTTGGTATTCCTTACGTGAGTAGCCACCAATACTATTTTGATTCTCAGTGTGAAAATTGCGAAGACTGACCCTCTCTCAAGACCGAGATGAACTGCCTTTCAATTCGCGATATTTATTGGATCAGCTCACCGCACTTTAAGCCATTCCAACCAGTTTTCATTGTCTCGAGGCCTCCTTCTTTGCTCTCATCTGAGACGATTCATAATATGTTAAACATAAATGTTTGTTTTCCAAGATTGGGGCCGATGTTTGCGGATTCTTTGATCACCCGACAAGTGAGATGTGCCTTCGCTGGACTCAACTTGGAGCTTTTTACCCTTTCTTTAGAAATCACAATGGCTTTGGAAATAAGGTAGCTTTTGCTTTGAAGGAGGAAAATTCCGTTGTCTTTTCTCTCTCTCTCTTTCTCTCTCTCTCTCTCTCTCTCTCTCTCTCTCTCTCTTTTTCGATTTCCCGAGGAAAAACTAATTTGTTTACAATTGAAAAAAAAATTTTTTCTGAGTCGCTTGAGTGGATAGCCATACATCCTTTCCAACCATGTAGTAGTTAATTTCGGGTCACTTCGAGTAGTTTAACGTAATTGAATTGAAATTAAAGACATGTCAACAATAGTGTTTGTGGTCTCAATGCTATTCAGTAGACAGTTTGGTTTTATCACCATAAAGAGTCAGAGCGAATAATGAAGGGCGAACGCTCGAAATGTCAGCTTAATAAACTCTTTACGGTGGCCAATTTACATTATCAACTCAGTTGATAAAACCAAATTATCTCGTAACACCCCTCATCGATTACTTTTTACAATTTGCGCGATTCTGAAAATAAGCTTGCTATTCCCTTGCCACGTACTAACTATCATAAAAATAGCTTTGGCTATAGTGGCGCAGTCCTCCGGAACAGCCTACCTTCAGCTGCTAGGCAAGCAACATCTCTGGTTAATTTCCAACGATTGTTAATTATTTCCGACACGGCATTCATGTAAAACAGGCTTTAATTTAATTTACCTCCTGTAATAGTTAGTAATGTTTTAAATTAGACTAATATACATAGTTTATACATAGTATACATAGTATACATAGTTTTTCGATTTGTGTCATCCATATTAAATTGTTAATGCCTGATGTATTTTACAGTGTTTAAATGATGATGATGATGATGATGATGATGATGACCGAGGCAGCACCAAAGTAGCTCACCCTCCCCTCCCCTCCCTTTTTTAATAGTCAAGTATTCGTAGTCTGGATGATGTTAATGATATGAAATTCTAAATATTTTAAGTGATGGAATGTAGCGAGGATTGTTCCCGACCGTTTAAGTTGCCAATACCTTAGACCTCGTAAGAATTGAGAATCGTAATGTGTGTAAGATTAAAGAAGCTAGTTAATCAAATCTTGTTTTTTTTCCCATCATCATACAGGCTCAAGATCCAACAGCATTTGGCGACGAATTCGCAAGTAACGCTCGTAAAGTTCTCCGCACACGTTACAGATTGTTGCCGTTCCTGTATACACTGTTCTATGAAGCACACATGGAGGGCTCCACTGTAGTGCGGCCTGTAATGCACGAGTACGTATTTACACTTGCTAGCGCCTGATCAGATCTGAACCCAAAATATTCAAACGTCAAAACCTCCCAAAGATAAAACTAGGCATTTAAAAGAGTCATCCCTCCCTTCGACTCTGGAGAACCTCTGGACCTCCCCCCC